ACAGTTTTTCATAATACCGGAAGCGGCCATCTTGGATTCCAAAATGGCATGAATTATCGATTTCCGGCCTCTGCATGTCGTCTCGGTTCTGAAAATATCCATATCGTTGGCTATTTGACAGTTTTTCACTAAACCGGAAGCCGCCATCTTGGATTCCAAAATGGCATGAATTATCGATTTCCAGCCTCTGCATGTCGTCTCGGTTCCGAAAATATCCATATTGTTGGCTATTTGACAGTTTTTCATAATACCGGAAGCCGCCATCTTGGATTCCAAAATGGCATGAATCATCGATTTCTGGCCTCTGCATGTCGTCTCGGTTCCGAAAATATCCATATTGTTGACTATTTGACAGTTTTTCACTAAACCGGAAGCCGCCATCTTGGATTCCAAAATGGCATGAATTATCGATTTCCGGCCTCTGCATGTCGTCTCGGTTCCGAAAATATCCATATTGTTGGCTATTTGACAGTTTTTCATAATACCGGAAGCCGCCATCTTGGATTCCAAAATGGCATGAATCATCGATTTCCGGCCTCTGCATGTCGTCTCGGTTCTGAAAATATCCATATTGTTGGCTATTTGACAGTTTTTCATAAAACCGGAAGCCGCCATCTTGGATTCCAAAATGACATGAATTATCGATTTGCGGCCGCTGCATGTCGTCTCGGTTCCGAAAATATACATATCGTTGGCTATTTGACAGTTTTTCACAAAACCGGAAGCCGCCATCTTGGATTCCAAAATGGCGTGAATCATCGATTTCCGGCCTCTGCATGTCGTCTCGGTTCCGAAAATATCCATATTGTTGACTATTTGACAGTTTTTCATAATACCGGAAGCCACCATCTTGGATTCCAAAATGGCATGAATTATCGATTTCCGGTCTCTGCATGTCGTCTCGGTTCCGAAAATATCCATATTGTTGGCTATTTGACAGTTTTTCACAAAACCGGAAGCCACCATCTTGGATTCCAAAATGGCATGAATTATCGATTTCCGGCCGCTGCATGTCGTCTCGGTTCCGAAAATATACATATCGTTGGCTATTTGACAGTTTTTCACAAAACCGGAAGCCGCCATCTTGGATTCCAAAATGGCGTGAATCATCGATTTCCGGCCTCTGCATGTCGTCTCGGTTCCGAAAATATCCATATTGTTGACTATTTGACAGTTTTTCATAATACCGGAAGCCGCCATCTTGGATTCCAAAATGGCATGAATCATCGATTTCCGGCCTCTGCATGTCGTCTCGGTTCTGAAAATATCCATATTGTTGGCTATTTGACAGTTTTTCATAAAACCGGAAGCCGCCATCTTGGATTCCAAAATTGCATGAATTATCGATTTCCGGCCGCTGCATGTCGTCTCGGTTCCGAAAATATACATATCGTTGGCTATTTGACAGTTTTTCACTAAACCGGAAGCCGCCATCTTGGATTCCAAAATGGCGTGAATCATCGATTTCCGGCCTCTGCATGTCGTCTCGGTTCCGAAAATATCCATATTGTTGACTATTTGACAGTTTTTCATAAAACCGGAAGCCGCCATCTTGGATTCCAAAATGGCATGAATTATCGATTTCCGGCCGCTGCATGTCGTCTCGGTTCCGAAAATATACATATCGTTGGCTATTTGACAGTTTTTCACAAAACCGGAAGCCACCATCTTGGATTCCAAAATGGCGTGAATCATCGATTTCCGGCCTCTGCATGTCGTCTCGGTTCCGAAAATATCCATATTGTTGGCTATTTGACAGTTTTTCATAAAACCGGAAGCCGCCATCTTGGATTCCAAAATGGCATGAATTATCGATTTCCGGCCGCTGCATGTTGTCTCGGTTCCGAAAATATACATATCGTTGGCTATTTGACAGTTTTTCACAAAACCGGAAGCCGCCATCTTGGATTCCAAAATGGCGTGAATCATCGATTTCCGGCCTCTGCATGTCGTCTCGGTTCCGAAAATATCCATATTGTTGGCTATTTGACAGTTTTTCATAATACCGGAAGCCGCCATCTTGGATTCCAAAATGGCATGAATTATCGATTTCCGGCCTCTGCATGTCGTCTCGGTTCCGAAAATATCCATATTGTTGGCTATTTGACAGTTTTTCATAATACCGGAAGCCGCCATCTTGGATTCCAAAATGGCATGAATTATCGATTTCCGGCCTCTGCATGTCGTCTCGGTTCCGAAAATATCCATATCGTTGACTATTTGACAGCAAGTTTATGTGTACCGTAATGTACCCTAATTCAAGAGCAAACTTCCATTACAAAGCAATTAGTTTTTATATTCAAAAGTCTGTTTGTCCTCGTCGTTTTGCTTTCTTATTATTGAAGTGAATAAATCGAACTGTTTGTTGCTAAGATGATTTCGGTGGTCCTAAAATGCACATAAGGAGACGTGATTGATAATTCTCCCGAATATCCTGGTAAAAAAACTTTGACTTAAGTAACCTTAGGGGGCCACCAAATGATGTATAATTACTTTTGACTCGAAAACCAGTACTTTTTAGTATTAAAGCTAGTGATCTGCTTTGTATGATTAAAACCCTGCTTAATATGTTAAACATTGCTATCACTATGAATTGAAATTAGGATGCACCACGGTATGCACATTTGCACCACGTAGATATTTAATTCATACACATATGTATGTACCTACAACTTTTTACTGTTCATTACTCAGCTACGGGAGCAGCTTTGTGGAAGCCAGCTGCTTTCAAGATGGTTAGGATTTAAAAATGAGAGAAAATTCCGAAATGGTGTGATCAAAGCATTCGGAAGGTCTTTACCTCCAGAAGAACTTTATCATGAACGAATATGTTCTAGGTGATCATGACTTACAAGTACCGAATAAAATTCCATGCACACTGCTCAGTTTTTTGTTATGATGAATTTTGAAATAACACGGGTTTATCACACTGTTTTGTGAAACACATGGTTTTTTTTTTAATATCGCGGTTTTTTTTTACACGGTTTTTTGAAACAACGCGGTTTTTTTTACACAGTTTTTTTTTACGCGGTACGTATCCCCCGTGTAAAAAAAGACTTGAGTGTATAGGACTAGAAGTATAGAGAAGTAGAATCAAGGGGAGTAGAAATACAAACAATCACTACAAATCTTAAGGTTCAATTTACTTTGATGCTTTTTGGAAAATTTCAAAAGCAGTTTTTTTCCGACGCATTATTTCAGATTGCAAAAAGCTCGCACTATTCGATTCCTTTTGATATTTTACACAAAATGACGCGAGCTTTTTGCAATCTAAAAGAATGCGTAGAAAAAAACTGCTTTTAATTTTTTTAAAAATGTATCAAAGTAAATTGAACCTTAAATACAATAAAAATCAACTTACCGTTTTCCGTTCGTAAATAAATGTTTTGATTTGAAATCGATGTTATGTTGTTGATCAGTCCTATCAAATATTAGAATGAGAGGAAGAAGTATTTTTACGTTGTTTCGGGTCCGTGTAATTATGTTGTTGTCTTCCGCGTAGTCGGAATTTGACTGTTATGTTGCGTACCTCTTTTGCTGCGGCTGCGCCTCTGGCGGAATTTAAGTGAAGCTACCGATGAGGAGAACTTAACGTGGAACGTCGTTTTTCTACTCGATCAAATTCGGTAGTAGTCAAGCTGGCTCGATCTCTTCTTTCTATGAAGATTTTCACTTGGACTCGCCCTGAGGCAGTCTTATCCGGGCAAACTCAACGTGGCCTGCGGTCTCCTTTACCGGAGTGGCGCTTAAGCCGCAGGCTTAACCTAGATCGGCCAGTGTCGGCTACAAACTGGCCAAAGTACTATAGTCAGAAGAAACTTCTAAAAGAAGTCAGACGAAATCGGGAAAAATTCTGGAGAAGTCGGAAGACACTTCCTGGAGTAGTTGGATGAAACTTCTTGAACAAGATTAAAATATAAACTTCCAGAGTGGTATTAACACACTTTCCCGGGAATACAGAAATAACTTTCAGGATAAGTTGGAAGAGTGTTCTGGACGAAGTTAAAAATATGACCGGGATATCTTTCAAAGTAAATCAGAATAAACTGTCCAAGGTAGTCGGAAGAAACTCGTGAAGGATAAGTTGGAAGAATCTTCTGGATGAAGTTAAATCAAAAATCCGGAAGATGTCTGAAGAATCTTTCAAAGGAAATCAGAAGAAACTTTTCGAGGTAGTTAGAAGAAACTCGCGAAAGATATCAGATGAAATCGGGGGAAATTCTGGAGAAGTTGGATGACACTTCCTGGAGTAGTTGGATGAATATGAAGCATGATATGTGCGAAGTGTCCTGATTGTGATATGTTGCTCATACTTTAAACTATGACAAACTTAATAACGTTGAGTACTGGTTCACATTTGGAAAAAAAAAATCGTTTTGAAAATTGGTATCTGTTTACACTAAATTCACGGTAAATCACACTGATGTTAACAAAAGTAGTTGGTATCTTCAGAAAAAATGCGTATTTTACGTTATCTAAAACTTTCTGCAACAAGCTGCAACAAAAACAGATATTAAGGTAGTTTTGAGGAGTCCTTTGGTTAATATGTAGAGATTTGATGTTTTGAACAAAGTTTCTTAAAATTTGATTCTCTACAATTTTGCCGAAGACATAAACCCATTATCTCGTAATTACAAAAAATCAGATTTGCTAAGTGTAATAACCCCTTGATAAAAATTCAGGTGCATATTTCAAAAGATGCAAAATGAAATTTGAAGAAACTTCTCTGGACACATCAAGGCACTAAAACCATAGAGGTAACTCTAAGACTAGTAGGTCCCGAAGAAACGTGCTCAATTGTTTGGCTCAGCTCTGGTACTCTCTTCGGTCCCAAGCTAATCGATGCACCCCTCGGAACATAGGAAAATCCACGAACCCTCATTTTATCTGTCAAACTTTCATAGCGAATCAAAACAAACATAGTGTAGTACTAGAATTTTCACTAGAATTGGGTACGTTGATAAATTTGCTTGGGACCAATAGGCTAGTCAATTAGTGAGCCAATTTTGAATCGTTAGTTTCCACCGGTTGCTAAAACGTTGATAAAGGAGAGAAAAGACTTTTGACCGGTTTTTTTTTCAGAACGTCGTCCCCACTGTGCTGCGAGCCGCGAAAGTATCAGTTTGGCTCTGTCCAGCCTCTTCTTCGTTGCAGCCTCCGTTACCCCGTGAACCTTGCGTTTCTTGTACGGCTTGTATCCCAGGTCCTTCGTCGTGATGGTGTGGGCAGTCCCGATCGACACATCCAAGCCAGCAGCGGCCTTTCGGACCGAGCAGGATCTATTTGAATATTGTTATGACTCTAAATTACGATTTTAAAGTTTTTGAGGAGGAAAAAGTACTGCTAAGAGACGTCACTGGGTAAAGTTTAAAATTTAGGTAGAGTTTTGAAAGAAAGTAAACTTGGAGTGTATGGCGCACTAGATGATTCTGAAGCCTGATCAAGTGAGTGGGTTACGGATATATCTGATTGTTTTCCGAATATTGCCGCAAGTTATATATTGATACATTCAAACCATTGCAATTTGGTATTTGCGGTAAACAGATATAGGATGCGGAGGGAGGGTTCGCTTAGGGGAATCGTTATCCATGTTATGGTTTCCATTTATTAAACAGTTCAGATAGGCTAGAAATGACGGGTACATAGTGAGAGATTATTCAAAATATAATACTGAAAACGTGATTTCCAGCCAATCTTTATGAAACTTCACATATCTCAATTGTTTGAACCTGTACAGGTTTTAGGTCTTCGCCAATTTTTCATAAAATTGTACGTTCTACAACTTCTCCCTAAAAAACAGACCTCTATCTAGCGGAATGAAAAAGTTTGTATCGCTGCGCCATCTTTGCGGCCAAATCATGAACTATTTGTATCCATCAAATTGTAGTTCTAACGAAACCAAGAAACTGATGCAATCCCAGAGCGTTATTATTTTTCCCCTGCTAGATGTCATTCTTGGCCTACTGTGTATTGGAATAAGTGTAAATGTTCACCCACATTCTGTATAAAAACTCATTTTTATATTTTCCTCATGCTCCTCCCCCCTTGCTGCGTCAGCGCTTTGACGGTTGGTGTAAAGTTAAAACTGGTACACGAGTGTAAAACTTTCATGGATGATAAACCTTGAAGAAGAGAGCCACTGAGAGGATAATTAGTTTTTCAGTAATCAGCAATGGAAGAAACACAAAGTATTATGACAAGTGTTAGGACTACAGAACCACGTGAGCAGTTCATAACATACATAACGACCGGATCCGTACGCTGGTTTTGGTATTTATAATATGTTGGCGGCAATACATTATACGCTAGAAGCTATCGCCTCACTTCCACCGAATCACTTTTTCATTTTTAAAGATAGTCTCGATTCCGAAAAATGAGAAGGCGGACTCGCTTGCAAAGGTGGGCGCTATGGAAGGCGATATTTACAATCGAAAAATCGCCTACAACGAACTTTTCTTCATTTATCGTCAACAGTCGCTCGCCAGCTGGCTAAATAAATGGAGGGAAGAGAGTTTGGGACGATGGCTATATTCTATCATTCCTAAGGTGTCGAAGTATCCTTGGTTTAAGGGGTTGGAGGTGAGTCGTGTGATGCCTTTCCTTAATTTTATAATTTCAGAGCTGATATAACGTTGAATAGGAGTAAACACATCCATTAAATTGTCTTCCACTAACCTCGAGAAGACCGCGAGTAATCGGTTGAACTCCTTTAACTTTAGATTTACGACATTAATAATGAATAACGGAAATGATTATTTGGCTCTGTAAAGTTTATTCGATTGAGCCTGTACAAATAAAAAAAACGACCGTATTATAGAATAACAGAAGAAACATATTCTTTAACTGGCATTTAATTATCATAAATGAATATCTAAAACACAGGATGCCGATACATCATTCATCGGCTGCGGTGGAACGATTCATCGTGATTTTATCCGTCTGGGTAATTGAGCTCGATTGGCACGTACTTACGAGAAGATGATAACTGCTGGTCACCACAAAACCCATATCACTAATGACTTTCGTTTAGTGCGCAGTCTTTCAATTCTACTTTATTCCTATGCCCAGCAACACACATGAGGCTTGGATCTTCATTAAATAATGTTCTAGCGAATCAACCATAAATCTTACTCCGACCCAGTGTTTGCTAGAGCCATAATCTTCTCAAATTTGTTATGTCACGTTGTCTGATGCTCCATGCTATCACTCTTAAGGCACACCCAGAAAAAAGACGAGATTATCATTAAAAATCATGCCCTGATTCAACCTCACTGCCCTGATTCTCACCAAGGAAGTTGACCTTCACGAAGGAAGCCTTCGAATGAGTAATAACATACGTGAGATTTTATCCCTAAGGGAGCCATCCGTGTGAGAACCCAGTATAAGGGACCAATGGCAATGTGGAGAAGAAAAAAAACCGGCGGTGTCATAAACCAATCCGTCTTTCTTTTCTTTTTACGCTTAAGGTTTCATTTACGCTCATTCGTTGTTTCGTGATTAGAAGGATACTTTCCGTCCCGCTGCAGGAAAATGGGATGTCTCGCTTCTGAGGAAAAAGTAGGACAGCCATCCGAACGGAGGCATCGAACCGCAAGCAGCGTATCACCCGCTGCTTTGGGAACGAGCGGACAGACCCATTATGGCAAACTTTATTGCTCGAATCTGAAGATGGCACCGGCATACAACACATGCCGGTTGATGCTGTGGCAACAATATGCGGGAAAGTTTGGTATTTTTCCTTTTTTAGTGTATTGATTTTCTGATGGCTCGTGGTGCCTTTTAAGATGGCCTCTATGTCCTTTCAGTTTGGAATTTGGAATTATGCTTTTTCGTTGCTCAAATTAATCAGAAAGAATTCTAAAGATCCAATCTGAGCAGATTGCATTCTCATGGACAGAATGAAAATTTAACTGCTAATGGCGAGTCAAAATAGAGCCATTCAAATGCTGCATCCACTTTTGCAAATTTCACCGAAGATCTATTAAAATTTCTGAGATTTGTGTGTATAATAAAATCTGCACACTTTCTTGAAGACCTTTGAATTTACCTGAAGATCTATGACTATTCTCGTGATTTTTTTTTTTTTTTTCAGAAGTTCTGTAAAATTTTTCAAAGCTCTGTAGCTTTGTATTGAATATCTACAAGCTTTTCTGATTTTCCACAATTTTTCAGTAGATCTCCAAATTTCGGTTAAATTCTTTAAATTTCTTTAAAATTTTCTGAAGTTTTGTAGTTCTGTTCTCAAGATCTACGAACTACCCTGATGCTCAACAAATTTCTCAGCACATCTCCGAACCACTCTGAAGCTCTAAAAGAAATCTTAGTAGGCTCTCAGACCTACTGTCTGGCATGCTTATTCTTATATAAAACAGGCTGTTTTGTTGACCCTTGCCATGATCAAAGCCATTACAGCATCTTTCGGCCAACATAAAAATCAGTCAAATCATACAAAGGACAATATTGCATAGTGAAATCGGTTTACCTTGCTGCTGGATGCCATCAAAACACTAATCAAGCGTTCTTTAGCAATTTAAATCCGTGAAATTTTGAGTCGAAAACACTAGTTTACAAAACAACATAAAAAGTGTGAACTTTAGTGGTTGACCAACGTTTCTAATGCAAAATCCTACGCTGAACTCAATGCCGTGGTCAGAAAAAATTAAAGTAGGGCCATTTTTGAGATATACAAAAATTTTGATTTTTTGAATTTTGGACAAAAGTACGATTACTAAAATGTCAATATCTTTGCAACTAGTGCACCAATTTAAAATCTTTTTTATGAAAGTGAAGCGAAATAAATTTGCTATCGTTTACTAGAATAATATGTCTTAATAAAAAATTTAATTTTGAATTCATTTAAAAATTTACAGCATTTTTTTTTTCCTGCGAATTTTCCATAAAAATCTTGTTTTAATCAACTTTTTTAATGGGATAAAAAGATTCAAAAAATCATCCCATAATTTATTCTTAAAGTCCATTAAAAACTGGAGAAAATGAGCTTTTCATGGATGAAATCGGTTGGAAATTGTCGAAGTTAGGAATTTTTTTGTAAAATCATGGAAATTGAATGTTCTAAGATTGGCCGTTGTCCCGCTCCTAGGTTCATGCACCACTTCCAGTAAGCCTTTCTGCGGACGTGTACGCATACGGTGCATTTCACTAACACTACCAGAGCTGTCACGCAAAATTAAATGGGATATTTTCAACAATATAATTTACGCTAGTGTTTGTGAGACCGCTCGGCGAGAACCTAACGCAACCAACTCAATTTGACAGCTTTCATTCTTTAACATTGCTTAACGATGTATACGACAAAACGTGAATTCAAGTGTAAAAATGATCCTCAAAAGTTTTGTTACGCGTGTGGCAACTATATATTTACAAAATCGGTCAATTTCACTGCTTCGTTGCAAACTGCATACAGACTTTATTTTAAAATTGATCCTGGAGACTTTGACGAACCGTGGATTCCAAAAGTATTATGTAGTTCGTGCAAAACGTGCTCGGCTAGGTGGATGTCAGGCGCAAGGTAAATTGATTTTTTGAATAACTTTCATATAAACAATTTATGTACAGCATGGTAGTGCTTTGTTCTTTCCTGATCGACATTATCTTACTTCATCTATTTTTGATAAGTGTTAATGTCTTACTTACTAACTCACTTATTTGTTATCTGTCAGTCGCTATTTGTCCTTTGACATGCCCACCATATGGCGTCGACCATTTTGTCATGCAACGGATTGTTATTTCTGCTTGACAAAAGTTAAGCAACAAGGACGTCACAAAACAGTTGAGTATCCACAAGTGGCTTCTATGACAAAACCTGTTCCACATTCAAGTTCGGTCCCGTATCCTGTTTATCCAAAGCGAAAACGAGCGCCCTCTGTTGAATCGACCGTTACAAAAAGTGAGGAGGAATTCAAGGAGGAATGCGAGGAAGACTTCGAGGTGGAATTGGAAAGAAACCCAAAACTGTTTACACAATCCAAATTTAATGATTTGGTGCGAGATCT